ATATATACATACATCTTCGAGCATGCAGTTACACATGGGGCCCGTTGTTAGACACATCATAAATAGCTATGGCAACATGTCTAACTTTTAAACGAATAAACTTTTTGAACTTTTGAGGCATCGCGCGAAAGCTATGACGTTACAGAGTTCTGACACTCATAGCTACTTATGACGTCACTGCCATGCTAGTTTAGATCATGGGCATCATCGGGTGTATAGCGCACAGTTGCACGTCATGGTCAGCATGCACGCGGTTTAACTCTTTCTCACGTACGGTTCACGCTTGTTCAGACGCCACGCGCGGTTCGACCAGCTTCAGGGCATGCCAGCCAGCGCACCCCACCTCCACGATGACGCGAATTCGCAGGACAGGAAACTCGGCGAAACCCCCGTCGAAAAATCCCCCCCAATTATCCACCTTAAACACCGCCAACAAATCCAGCTAAAAACCGTCAAAAACCCACCTTAAAAACCGTCAAAAAGCTAACTTAAAATCGCGAGAAAAACCCACGAAAACACCGTCGAAACATTCATCGAGCAAAAAAACCCATAAACAATCACGCACAGCTGCGACGTCGGCGTTCGAACTCGCGCCGACGCCATGGCGACGACGACGACGAGTTAAGCCGCCGCCGCTGCTGCTGCTGCGCGTCTGCGACGCAAACAAAAGCGCATCGCGGCGGCCGCGGCGGCATCGCGCCAGCAGATTAGCGACCGCACGCGATTATGTCCGTAACGCGCCGACCGCACGCACGTGAACTGCCGAACGAACGCGTCACAATGGCGTTTAACGCGACCCGGTGTACGGCGTTCGAGACACGGCGAGTGACGTTGTGGAGAGAAGCGGGGCGGTGGGTGGGGGGAGGGGGGATGCGGTCAAAACACTGCGTATGACGTTGTGGTGAGAAGCGGGGCGGTGGGTGGGGGGAGGGGGGATGCGGTCGAAACACTGCGTATGACGTTGCGGAGAGAAGCGGAGCGGGCGGGGCAGTGGGCCAGGGGCGGGGGGCATGCGGTGTACGATGGACGAAACCATACTGAACATTACGTTACATTGCATGCCATGAAATGACACGCAACGACATGACATGCCACCATATCGTTACGATACCGACACGTTATATGACATGACATGATACAACACGGCATTACATGACATGGCACGGTGCGACATAACACACAACGACACAACACGGCGTGATATGACACGACATGACACATGATACGACATAGCATGACATTGCCCTACATGATAAACCATTACAAAACATCGGCGAGAAGAGGGATGAACATAAAAGAACATGTAACAAAATAACAAGAACATGCAATAAAATAACAAGAACATGCAATAAAATAACAAGTACAAACAGCAACAGAGATAGATATATACAGATGACAGGTTCTATTTCGGATCATCTCCAGATCCCGCTAACACTCCCTCAACAGTGAACGGCCCCTTACCTATCGTTTTCACTGCTTTCCTTTTAACGGTCTACCGTGACATTACTCGCCGCTAGCTTCCTTCTCCGTCCTTCCCAAATTTTACTTACGTTACGACCGCCCCCCCCCCATTAGCTTCTCCCTTCGCTTCATCACTCTCCTTTCCTCTCTCGCGGGACTTTACCCTTAGATTTCTCCTCCATCCCATAGCTCTCGCTAAAACGCTCAAAGCGAACGCTCACTCACGGTGCACCCCCCCCCCTTATTAGCTGCCTCCTTCATCCAAACTAACCTTCTCTCACGGGACATTCCTAAATATCCCTCCTCATCCCTCCCAACGTTCTCTCACGGTAAAACTCCGCCACACAGCTTCCTTCCCCACACATCCCTCCTGTATCAATCATCACGCTCGATACACACACGCAAACACATCTGAGAAGGAAGTGGGGAGAGAGACAGAGAGAGAGAGAAGGGGGAGGGAGTCAAAGGGTTAGACTTGATGCGGAGGCATGCGCGCCCCGTCTCTCAACAACGTCACAATGTCGCAGCCGACAATACTCGTGCTGACAGTGGCAGCCCGACGACAAAGACCCCCCGCGCGACCTAGACTGACCCCGCGCGTCTCCGACTCGCGTCGCGGCTCGATTCCCAACGCGAGGCGGGAGTCAGTCTACCCGCTACCTGCGAAGTCGCCGCCAGGTTTAGTCGCGGAGGTATTTACGTTCGCTGGCGTGATGAAAGAGTTAACGCGCCGACGGCCATGCCCGTGCACTGATTAACCTCGATGGGAGAGCCAGAGAGTACGGGGGGAGGGAAGCGGGATGCCGTGATGCATGTGTGGGAAAGTTTCCTGCGATTATGATGTAACCACGCTCTGCCTCCCACCCTCCTTCCCCAGCGCGTCGATCGTGCTTCCGCGTGCTTCCACGGCCACGAGCATGTTTATGTTTTTAAAAGAAAGACTCATTTTTGTGTCCCGAGCGTTCGTTTCCCGCTTGAGCAAAACGACGAAGTTGCGAGTCACTCATGGCCCTACTCAACAGTTTCTAAACTTTTTCTCATTCACGAGACAATAGCGCACGAACGCGCGTGCGTGCGCGCGTAGGGCTTTGGCACTGTTAATGCTGGCATAAAAATAACACGATCTATACAAAACGTTTAGTTATGCGGTTACAAAACGTTAGCGCGTCGCGATGCCCTAGCAGCAGCAGCAGTCACGCGCACGCTCTCTCTCTCTCTCTGCCTCTCTTCAACTCGTTCACCACGGCGATTCCCAACGCCGCGATGAAAGCCGCATTACGCATTCATGTCAGGTTTTTGAATCGTGGCGCCATCTAGCGAGCACGTAGCTAATCTTCTCGAGAAGAACAACACTACTGTAATCACACGAGGTTTTACGGGTGGGGATCTTATGTATTATTAATATAGGATACCTATGCATTATATTACTGTACAATACGCTGCATACATACACATGCACGCGCTGGTTTTATTTTTACTTATTATAACTAATATAACTATAACATTTATACTTACCTTTTGCACGACGAATAAAAAGTGTCGGACATTTATAACTTAGCAAACTGGAATTACCAATACATACTGTCAAAAACTGGCACAGAAAACACCTGAATCCCTACCGGAAGAGAGAATGTAACCCAAGGCATGACTACATCATGTAAACTCTTCCATCAGCTATTACCACAATTGCATTCCAATTAATAGAATGAGTGTGAGATTCTAGTAACATATCACTGCCACACAAGTGAAAACAAAATTACGCACTGACATGATCTTTTGCATTGGAAGTTATTAGAGAGGCACATAACATCGGCTACATACTAGGGGAGCACAGTTCAAGTGGAGTGTGTGCTCCTGTCCTAACCCATCACAGGCCCCACGGATTGTGTACCCACTGCAACACACTAACATTGATGACATCATCAGAATGTGAGTAAGCTAGTGGCGCCCCCGTACAGAGGTCTAGAAACATGGAGGACCCTTGAAACCATTCTTAGACATGCGAGTATTGAAGCGACGCCACTCCTCTCCTGTGGCAGCGATCATGTTCTGTGGCTCCCTCTTGTAGACCGGTGGGCCGTATCTTGTAGGGGGTAGCGCTCGCACATAGACGAGTGGTTGGCACCACGTTAGTGGTGCCCCCTGGTAGATGGTTGTACGACATGTCGGTGGCGCCCCCTTGCAGACAGATTTCGCGAGATCATATTGGTGGCTCCCGGTTGCAGACGGATGCCATGAGATCGCGTCGGTGGCGCGCCCTTGCAGACGCATGCCGCGAGATCACGTCGGTGGCGCCCCCTTACAGACGGATGCTGCGACATCACGTCGGCGGCGCGCCCCACCTCCACGTCAGCGCCGTGCTCCACGAGCTCGCGTAGGCGTTGATGTTGTTGCAGCAGCGTGGCTCGAGCAGCGGCGGCAGCAGAAAGACGCAGAGCAGCAGCACGTAGAACGGCAGCGAGGCGGCGAGCAGTCGGACGAGCAGAGGTCGCGCGCGGGTCGCCGCGTCGCGTGTGTGGCGCCTCCTGCAGAGGGAAAGACAAAAGAAACGTTTTAGTTCGAAGCGTCGCAGACTGTTGTCGATCAAACGTATTCGTTCGTTTTTCCCGAGATGCTTGCCGATCTCGCTGCCTGTTGCGGTGATGTTGGTGACATGTGCGTATCATGATCGCAAAAGAATATTCGAACTTTTAGTTGTTTGCATTTTAGTTGTGAAGCTTAAAGGCTGAAGAGGGTTCATATTTCAGATTTGTGAGCAGATACCTAGCAGTTACCTAGCAGATACCTAGCAGATACCTAGCAGTTACCTAGCAAATACCTAGCAGTTACCTAGCAGTTACCTAGCGGATACCTAGCGGTTACTTAGCAGTTTACCCAGCAGTTACTTATCAGTTATCTAGCGACAAGAAGAGAGAACTCACCTTTTAGACGGCCTGCTCTGCTCCGGCTCACATCCGCTACCCGCCTTCCTCTGCTTCCCGATCGTGGATGCCTCTGCCAGACCTTCCTCTCCGACCTTCCCTGCGAGATCCATCCTCCTCTCCACTCCACTCCGCGGGGAAACCCCATCCCCTTCCTCTCCCACCGGTGAAGTGGAGTCGACATCCTCCGGAGGGTCGTCGCCGCGGCGACGCTCGCTCTCTGTCCTCGAGTTGGCGCGGTCCCTCTCCGACGATTCCTCCCCCGTCCGCTGACCGGCGAGCGACGACTCTCTGCAAGGAGTTGTTGCCGCGTCGCCCGTCTGCATACGACCCACAAGAGACGGATCCACATCATCGTTGTCTTCGTCATCGTCATCCATATCCGACAACGCAAGACGTAGCGTGTCGTCCAACGAAAAGTCGTGAGTGGAAAATCGCGCCTCCTCGCACGGTGAGTCGGGCATGGATGACATTGTATCGCTGCGTGAGTCCGGCGTCGGTAATCTCGTCTCATCGAATGGAGAAGGTGTGGGTAAAACTGTCTCAATGTGCGAGTTGGGCGCGGCTGATGTTGTCTCATTATACGAGTCTGATATCGGTAATCTTGTCTCGTCGCTCGGCGAGGATGTGGATGAATCTGTCTTGCTGGACGAGATAATTGCGGGTGACGTTGTCTCACTGTACGACTCAGATGCTGGTAACTGCGTCTCACTGTGCGAGTCACACGTGGGTAAACGCATCTCGCGAGACAATGACTCCGGTGCGTACAACCCCATCTCATCGACGCTCACGTCACACCCGGGCGAGAACTCGCGCACGCACGACCCCGTCTCAACGATGCACGCCTCAGACGCGGGTCGACTCGTCTCCGCAGGCAACAATGACTCAGCTGCGCGCCGCCTCGTCTCGTCGAGCTCTGACTCAAGGAGCCGCGCGAGGTCGCCACACTTCTCGCGGAGGTCAGCGAGCTCGGCCGCGACCTCTGAGAGGTCGTCGACGACGCCGGCATTCGTGTCGTCGTCGCCAATGGCCAGGATGGCTTCGGAATCGTCGGAGAGCGAGCGGTAGCGTCGCTCTATGCTGTTCAGCTCGTCCAGTACGCCCTACAGAACGAGGAGAGACAGTGATGTAGATAGTGATGTAGATAATGATGTAGACAATGATGTAGACAGTGAAGAGAGACAGTGATGTAGACAATGATGTAGACAATGATGTAGACAATGATGTAGATAATGATGTAGACAGTGAAGAGAGACAGTGATGTCAACAATGATGTAGACAATGATGTAGACAGTGATGTCAACAATGATGTAGACAATTATGGAGACAATGATGTAGACAATGATGTAGACAGTGAAGATAGACAGTGATGTAGACAATGATGTAGACAGTGAAGAGAGACAGTGAAGAGAGACAGTGATGCAGACAGTGAAGAGAGACAGTGATGTCAACAATGATGTAGACAATGAAGA